TGGGGGTGGGTGGGGGAGGGGAGGGGAGGGGAGTGGCAAGTCCGAGCGTTAAAACGACATGGGTACACAGTGCAGACACGTAGTTAAGGTCGCTAGATGACGAGTCGCTTCTCCTCGATCGGTTAGAGTCGTCTCACCGGCTAAATGAACACGGCCCGTTTCAGCCCCGAAGTCAAGATTGCAGCTCGACCTAATTGTCCGTCCCTCTGTTACAGACGCAGACGGTGCCTTCGCTGGTCCTAGATGTTTAGTCGTCTGCCCTCGATGGACGACTAAGGGCGCACTCGACCATGGTGGTGGGACTGTACGAGCATAAACGACATTTTTTAGGGAGTTTTATTGATTTGCGATTAGCACCGGTTCCATCCTCCCGCGACAATGGGGGATTAGCGAGCGAGTTTTGTGGAGCGGCCGCGGCATCTTGAGGCGCCTCTCGGGCGATCCACTCGTTGAGCGAGACGAGGGACACGCGACACAGCAAGAGTTTTCTGTGCCAAAGTAATCAGCGACTTTGTAGGACGCGCGTTCATCCGAGGAGTCTTAGATCAAGGTAGATGCGGTGCTGGTGCCGTAGATGGCTAACCTGCCGTGCATTGCGGTGAGATGAACCGGGGCGGATTCCTGATCTTGTCACTGTGCTTTCCATTATCATAATGTTAAGGGAGCCGGCAATAGCTGCTACCCATAATCCTAGAATGATAATAGCCTGTAAGGATCAACGCACTCACTGTTGACTAGCTATGTAATGTGTTCCGTGAGAAAGGACTCGCCGCCGTTGACTAAAAGAGTTTACTTTATTACTCCGGTAGTGTAAAGGTTAAAATTATCGTTGCTGCTGCGCCGAGTCACGGACTGCGATGCGATGTTTTATTTTCTTCCACGACCGGCACTCTAGACTTACGGATATTGATATAATGCTTATAAATTATATTCCATGCGTAAATGTTCGATTGTATTATCCACGAAATAAGCAGGAAAGCATGAGACAATACGGCTTTCAAAAACTTAGCAAAATTATAGAATACAGTGGCTCGTAATTGAAAAAATTTCGTTTGTTATAAAATTATGTACTCGCGACGCATTTTAAAGTTCTGATATTATATACGAGTCGATGTGCAAGAGTAGGTAAAGAATTTTCGAGCTCATTGCATCGACAGGAATGTTCGTTATTTGAATTTGAAAAGTTTTTCCTCCAATCTTAACCATCTCCAAATGAACATAAATTTGTCATTTCTACTTTTAACCCACCCCCCTCTCACCAACAAATACTTTATTACAATGCGCACATTATTGCAAAAAATGTCTAATTTAATCCTCATATTTTTACACGAATATGCATTACGTCTCTCTTTTTATCATTCGAATACGTTAAATTTTTTTTACATACAGCTTGCTTAAAAACTTTTCTAAAAAACGTAATTAATACACTTATAAAAGATTAAGTAAATTGATAAAAATATATAAATAAATATATGACGACGACGACTACGACGACGACGACGACGACGACGACGACAACGACAACAACAACAACGACAACAACAACAACAACAACAACAACGACAAAAGATATATAAAAAAAAATTTTAAGAAAAAAACAAAAGGCAAAAAAACAAAAAATAAAAACAATAAACGAAGAATAGAAACCGTGAAATAATCTGTTGCGTTGATTGTTAATGTGCCAAAATAGTTAGTAATAATGATGAGTGATTGTCGGCGGAGTGTCGAACGATGTCAAACGATGATTTCAAAAGTGAAAATAATGCACGAACGAGAGGTGAAAATAAAAATGACTTTATAGCGATGAATTTAATAGGAGACGAATGATGATTGATCAAGAATTTTCGCGCCCCTTCATAAATTATTTGCGTCTTTCGACTACTATACAAACTAATAAATTTATTATGTAAAATTAGTTATTTCAATTTTTTCTTTCTCTAAAAATAATTTACAATGTATTAAATTGACTATAATTGGAATTATAATTGTAAAAAAGTAATTAAAGATACAGAGATTATATTGCATTTTAAATGGGTATTTTAATAAAGCTTGTAATGTTTATGTACAAAATTATTTAATTATTTAATAGAGTGTTAAATAGAATAGCGATTGGTAAGAAAAAAAAAAAAACAAAAACAAAAAAACAAATACACCTATTGTGTAAATTTAAAACTAAATAAAAACATGATAATGCATTTACATAAATTAATAAAGTAATTTGAATAATTAATGTATGTGATTAGTAGGACAAATTGGGCATGGAAATATATTCATAAGCGTGAAGCGTATTCTTCATTTTCCGCAGCAAGCATGATAATGGATTTCAACTAACAATGGCATAAAATAAGGATAAATGAACTAATACATTGCTTTCAGCGAATGACGCCGTGTAGTACGTAAGAAAGACCAAAGATCTAATCCGATATTTTACAAACCTACAACTAAATAAACAGTTAGCAAATTAAGAATTAAGCGCAAATTGTTGTTATTTCTAATGAATATCTTCAGAATCGGTAAAGATGAGATTGATAATTGAAATTGAATACAATATAAAGATTTGGAATTACCGACGTTCGCT